AAGTGAAAAGGGTGACAATATAAAAAAAAAGCCAACCTTTCTACACAATGCATAAAAAACCCTCATATAGAATAAATGAAAACCAGCCAACACAAAAAAGTCAGACAATGAGTGTAATTGTGAACGGGTTGAATAAAAATGATTGCAAAGCATGCAATGAAAAAATATCTAAACATGGTGAACGAAAACCAGACATAACAACAAAGTCAACTTGTGAGAGAAACACAACTCACAGACAAATAGACACGTGCAGGGACACCGTTGAATTTAACAGCTAATGGGTACTTAGAACTGGAGAGGGCAGAGAACCGGCCAGGCCAGAAAGGAGGTAGAGATCCATTCTTCTGAGCTCCAATGTCCCAGTACACGTCAAATATCCGTGAAGCGTCCTGTGCTAGACAGCTGCAGTCTTCCACAGTCACTCCAACCTCTTTCACCTAATAGAAATATTGACCATATTTTAGCATAAGCATTTATATATTTATAGGATTGTTTATTTCGGTTGATGGCCATTTTGATATTATAGTCTAATAAACTGCACTGAATAATGAATAGAATAAAATCAAAACAAACCAAAAATTACATAATGTCAAGGACGTTGCATGTCAACAGAAACATCCAATAAGATCCATTTACCATCCAATCCAATGAAGCAATGACTTTGCAGGCAGGTTTTTTTTTCACAAAGGTACCTTACAAAACTGTGACAATATCCCACAGAATTGTTGGTCATTTTGGCATTTTTACAAGGCATTTTTACAAGGATAACATTTTTCAGCTTCCGGACACAGCCTTCGACTCACTTGGGTAAGAGAACGCCAATCCATGTTTGCGCTGCCTAAATACATATGCTTCTTATCCACAACCCACAGTTTGGTATGCAAAATGCCTCCAGTGATGCTCTGCAGGTCAACTCCCCTGACGTCAGCCCCTAAAAGAGAAAGCACAAAGCAAGTAAGCTGAAGGGAATAGGCTGCATAACATCCATTCAAAATCATTCAAGCTCTTACAATTCTCAAAGTGTGCAACGTGTACCTGTTGCTACCAGTTCATCTGTGTCTGCAATGTATGGCTGAGGGGCGTTTACTGCAATCTTCAACTTCACTCCTCTTGGTTCCAGCTGCTTCAGTTGGTTGAACACTTTTTTGCCCTATAGAAAAGATACAAATGAACTGCATTCCCATATAATCACGATCAATACAATTCTATTATTATCCAACTCTTATTAGATCATCTGTCGATAACAAAATAGAGTGTATTATTCTCACTTATGCACAGTAAAATGTCCACGGCACGACATACCAACACAGATGAGGGCTCCGTAAGGCCCAGGTCTGAATCTCGGAGTGTGAAATAGAAAGCACCAATGTGGACAGAGCTGTTTGCTCTGTTTAGTAGATTAGTCCAAGTCTCTGAAATGCTTGGCAGGTGAGGTGAGCCTGAAGGGAAGCTGAGGCCCTCTGGGACACTCTCAACAAGAGTGAGCCTGATAAAGAACATTTAGAAACACATTTAAACATCTCAAACTCGCTATTTATAAAGTGAAAAAAATCTTCAGGATCCGTTTCCTCACCTACAGTCAGAGATGCATGTCTCTTGAGGCATCCAGAAACTTTCCAGACAGTGAAGCTCCAGTTGTGACATCAGGTGTGACATGGATTTAGGGACTCCATACTGCCAGATATGTAACGTAAATCCACCCAAAATAAGGAGAATGGAGGGCACGAGACAGAAAAGGAAAAAGCTCCTTCCTTTTGTCTGCTAAAACAATATAAAAATAAAATGAAAGACAAACTATTTATTTATGCTAGCATCTACCTAACAAGATACGCAGATATCTGTTGGTGATGAAATTGTGGTTTTGTGGCTTTTTCATTTCACATATCTTCTTCTGTTGAAATTCTGTTCTGTTTTTGATGGGAAAACAAATATTTGAAGGCAACTAGACTCAGATACTTCGAATGTGTTTATTTATGCAAATCAAAAAGGTCAAATTAGTCCTGAGAAAGACATTCTATACTACAGATATGGCTTGCACTGCAGTATTTTTCTTTCTTACCTAGGATATTTGTCCCATTTTCCAGTAAAAAAGAAGAACATCTCAACATATATTTTTAAAACAATTTACTTGAGCAAAACTATTTTATTATTATTATTTTGTATAAAAATGATGCGAGTTTGTACCAAAGACAAAATATCTTGTTTTAGCCTCAAAAAAAGCATAATATTAAGGGAAATCAAGTGTATTTTTCTTAGCCCATTGGCAGTCATTTTCCATGTTTTAAACAGATGCCTTGTTTATTCTTCAGGGTTCAGATAAAAACATATCTGTTTAGAATAGCTTTTAATGGTATGATTGTTTGATGTGTGCTTGTATGTGTTGTTTTATCGCCTTGTTTTATATTGTACGGTGTCCTTGAGTGCCCTGAAAGGCGCCTATAAATAAAAGGTATTATTATTATTATTATTATTCTTAAGTAAACGTTTGTTCATTTAAAAATGTTTAGATAGTTGTACTGGAAAACAAGAAAATTATTTGCAGTGATTCCCTTCATCAGGGTAAATCTATGTCTGTTCACTTAGAAAGGTAATAGCATGCATTTCCTCAACAGGAAAAACAATAATATGCTTGCCCAAGCAAACACCATTCATTTTGCATATTGCATGTAATATAGTTCACCTCACCTTTGAGGTTGTACATATTTTGGCCTGGGTGTGTTTTGTAGGACTAGTATTGCCAGTTTTGGTTCCCTGTCGTGTTTCTTCAATGCATTTTTTACTATTTAAAGGTTTCTGCATCTTAGCGGTTTCATCCTGAGCACAAAGTGTGGATCCATCACCCTTATCTGAAACAAAGCACTGTTTCACATTGTTCCCTGTGACACGATTTTCTTCTGTCCAATGTGATTGGGATACACTTCCTTTTTCCTCACTCAAAGTTTCTTCACGAGCTCGAGCCGAGGCCTCGGGTTGATCATCAGTGGAGCCCGAGCTCAGATCCTCTACAACATCATCCTGTGCCGACATCTGCTCATCTTCTGAGACGTTCTCCGCACTTGCAGTTTCAAATTCAGAAACGGGCTTCACGACGTGATCATATGTCTCATAGATGTCCCTGAGTGGAGGTCGCTGCAGTGACATGTCATCGTGATCAGAGTCTTTTGTAATCTCAGGCGTTTGATCAAGGGATTGATCTATTTTCGGAGCTAAAAGAGTGGAGGTGTGATCTGAGATATCACCTTCAAAGAGAACATCAGCAAGGCTTGTGGGTAAACGAGCCGATAGGATGGGCAGTGCTTTTTCTCTCCCCCCAGATACTGACATTTTGCCTCTTCCAGCCTCTGTAGAGCCAGCTTTCTCTTTTTGGCCCTGCTGGCTGGATCCATCCATCTTCAGTGATGACTCTGCACTCTGGATGGTGACTCGCTTGCGGCCCAGAGAGCTTTGAAAGGTAGGGATGCGGGACAACGGTAGTCTCCCTGCTTTACGGGATTCCTCTCCATCCTCCTTCCTCTCGGATGTTGTTTTCTCATTCGATTCATCGCCGACCAATTGTTCTGGTGATCTAAAATATACATCCTCTGGTTCCTATAGCATAAGTTCAAAAACATAATTTAATTCAAAAACATTACATAATGGGTGTGCACACATGTGACACAATATGCAATTTGTTGCTTGTACACGTGCACTCTTTACACTTTAGTACATGTGTGCAAGTCTGTATATAGATAGCATAAAGGCTGTATACAAATAAAATGTATATTTAATTTGTTGTTTGTAGACACTCTTTACACCTGGTACATACAGTATGTTATTATCAAACATAAAACTATTAAATGCTAAATTAACTAAAAGATGCAAAGACTGTAGAGTAGACAGATAGAAAAGAAATATAATACTGAATAATCAACTCCATATCCCTTGATCTGTAAATGCAAGACTGGTTAACAAGTAGCAAAACGTTTGTCTAACATTATGCAAGCTCAGTAGCCTATAAGAAGGTGTGTGCGACAAACTGAAATGTCTAAACGCTAAAGAAAAAAGCTGTAACGTTAACCTTTTAAACACCAAGCCAGCAAGTTTGAAACCCTAGTTAGCACGCAAGCTACTCACCATGACCACAGGCGATAATAACTATTCTCAACTTATCCGTAACGAGTAACTATTTTCAGAAATAAAACGGTAAAAACAAAACGTAAGACGATCTGTACGAGGTGGTAAACTTGTAATAGGTCCGGGCGGATACTTTGGTAAAGGAGAGATGCTGTATCTATCTGCGACGTGGCTGCAGAACTACAGCTCACACAGTGCGGTACAGTGAAGAAAAGAGAGCGAGAGAAAGAGAGAGCGAGAGGAAAAAGTGAGGAAGAAAACCTCGCCTACTAAACACGCTATGAGTTCAGACCGTTCAGACGTTACAAACCACCTCTGACTCACAGCCTGAATCTATGACCGCACATCATCACTCATCTTTGTTGTTCATGTTATGAAATTATGAGTATATAACTTTTAAAAAGTGTTATTTAAACCAAGTTGTTGATGTACTCGCTTTATTATTCAGTTCGTGAAATGAAAGGCAAGTATAAATCATAATGACAGGAAGGAATGACAGCTGACATGACGATTATTGAAGCGCAAAATTGAACTAACCGCCGTTTCTCCGTACAGTAGTAAATTAGTAGAAGTAGTAGTGCTATGGTTGATTGATTGATTAAGGGTTCCCCTACAGGCCAAGTGCGGTAATGCAACAGGCGTCTACCACAAACCACATAATGCTTAAATACAAAATACTTCCTGAAAATTAAGATGACGGGTCTCTTTGTTCCTCTTTTAACCTTTTTGAAACTCCTCTGTACTTTTGAAGAGTTTGGAGAGAAAGAATTTTAAGGAATGCATCCTTGTTTTCGTTACTTCATAGTGGGCGTGGTCTTGCATGAGGAGGAAGTCACGTTTGTTTACGTTTGTCATTACCAGTATGTACCGCTAGATGTCGCCATAGATGAGTCTCTGTTAAATAAGGCAGTGCATAAACACGAACCGGACTTTGGTGATGAGGGAAAGGATTTATTGGATGTGTCACGTCGATTACTTGTTCATTTTTGTAAGGTATTGTTGAATTCATTTTTGTAATATTTTAGGGTATTTTTAAAGAATGTGTATCGCATATTTATGTCAAAACCGCCCTATGAACTAGCAAATCGATTTTAAACCCTTATCTAGCAACGTTAGCCACACAGCTATGCACTTTGTATCGGTCTAAACAAAGTAATTTTGATACGAATGTTTCAGTGTTAGAATGAGTTAAACAGTTAAAAACTATTAAAATCTGTGCTGCTACACCGTGCAGACGAACAGGTCTAGCGAATAAACAAAAGTCGTGCTGTCATTCGCGACTGTCAAAACTGCCAATCAGTCACACTGTAATGGCTGTTGTCAGATAAACGATGTTTTTGTTTTCGAAGAGGAAAATTGTGTTCTTGATTTTTGAGTTGATGTGAAACTTGGCTATCTTACTTTAGTTACATTAAACGCTTTCACTTTTATTTTTGCAGATCACAGGTTGAAAAGGGAAATTCTCACAAAGGACTTTTTCCAGAAGAAGTGTTGTTTTCGTCGTGTAGTTTGATCCATATAATGATACTCAGACAAAGACAGTACGGCTGAATTTTATTTTTATTTGCTAATATGATTTATACTGACATTTTATGCCATTTTAGTTTTATTTTATTTTGATGTTCTGGTCTGTACATTCTTTTGTTTAAAATTTTTCTCACATCCATCATCATAATGCACATTCCAGTTCCACCTTCCCCCATGAGACCAGCCGTGGCCCCCTCGGTACAGCTGGGTGTCACGGTTCTTTACGCATGTCTCTATGGGGGTCTTTTTGTAGTGGTATACATTCAGCTTTGGTTGCTGTTACTCTACCGGCATAAGCGATGGAGCTACCAGAGTATTTTTCTTTTTCTTTGCCTGTTCTGGGCAGCTCTTCGCACAACACTCTTCTCGTTTTATTTCCATGATGCCCTTGCGGCCAACCACTTGTCCACTCCAGTCTACTGGCTCCTTTATTGCTTCCCAGTGTGCTTGCAGTTTTTCACTCTGAGTCTCTTCAACCTTTACTTTACTCAGGTAAGTCGAGTTAAAGTTACATAGAGAAAGATTTGTGAGATGTTTGCAAAATCAAGCCACTTCTTAAAAACAATGTTTCATTTTGACAGGAGTTGCTCAAAGTCAGAAGTGTATTCAACATTGAGCCCAGCAAAGCACTGTGAGTACATTCACATACATGAATATTAGTTAGTGCTGTGTCAAGTGAATAAAATAATCAAATGAATTACATGATGTGAACATGAATTCATATATTTAATCAGAAATTCATTTGCACATCAAATGTAGCTGAGAAATATTCCCCAAAAGATAGTCTTGAATGTGTTAAATAAGAAAAACATCAAAAAGTTATTATAAAAAGTTGATTTAAAATTAAATATTTGACATATTCAACATTTTACTCATAAGCCTTTATGGTTATAGCCAAAACAGTTTGGTTACCAACATTCTTCAAAATATATTTTCATAAATAATCATACAGGTCAATAAAATGTCATACAAATTTGAAACAACATGAGGGTGAGTAAATGTAACTAAACAGAATTTTCATTTTTGGGCAAACAAATTTGTTTTTTTTTTGTTCCAAGTTATTTTTTCGTAACGAATTAAATTAACATGTTAAATCTACTGCCTTAATATTAATGGATATCATTTGTTTAATGAGAATTGTATGGAAGCTTGTTTCTGCCACTTTTTGTCTCACAATTCAGATTTATTTTCTGGAAAAAATTCTGAAAAAAAAAGGCAAAATTGCAAGATAAACTTGGATTTGTTTTTCTCATAATTGTGAGTTTTGTAACTTGTAATTCTGAAATTTTCTCTCAACACTGACTTTATTTCTCAAAATTCAGTATTCAAAACTCGTAATTCTGACTTTACAACTTGCTATTATGAGTTTATATCTCAGTTTCTGATATCTGAACTCGTATTTGTGAGGAAAAAGTCTTGAAAGAATTGCGAGTTTATATTTCAAAATTGTGACTTTCCCCCCCCCTTTTTTTCAATTGCAATTTATAGAGTCAGAATTGTGAGATAAAAAGTTGCGATCACCTTTTGATTTATTTCGTGGCAGAAACAAGTTTCTCAAGAATTGTGTGTGAACTTTGACTTCCAGAAGGGCGGCTCGGTGTGTGTATGCCACCATGAGTGCCGTCTTCCTGTGCGTCAACATAGTTTGCGCAAGCCTCGCAGATCATGGAGGTTCTGGTGGAGCTGGTGAAAATGCTTGGAGGCTGGTTTTGCTTCGGGTTCTGGTTAATGACCTACTGTTCATTCTGGAAGCTGTGTGTCTGGCCACATCTCTGCTCCTGTTAACTCGATTTTCGCCCACCACCACCCCCCCTTATCTACGCAGTAAGGTACATACTTTACAAGGACTTGAGCTCAAATGGTAGTCGCAATCTATTTTACTTGTTTAATCGGAAATATTCTGATGTAGTTTATGGTAAAGAATAAATCTCTGTTACTGTTCATGATTAACCAGACAAACTTTGGTAAAAAAAAAAGCATTATTTCAAGATGTGTTGCGTTTACAGGGGCTTTGCCGGACTGTGGTGTTGGGGGCCGGCGTAATCTTGCTTTTCTCTAGCAGGGCTTGCTACAATCTTGCAGTGCTGTTTTTGTCTCAGAATCATAAAGTCGAGGCTTTTGACTATGACTGGTACAACATTTCTGATCAGGTGGGCAGTTGCACTTTGTGGGTTGCTAATGAAAGGGTATTTCTCTCACTGGTCAGTTTGTGATGGTTGTGTGTTCTTCTCAAAGGCTGACCTTCAGAATGAACTTGGAGAAAGAGGCTACATTATCTTTGGAGCAGTTCTTTTCATTTGGGAGCTGCTACCTACCGGCCTGCTCATTCTCATCTTCAGAGTTCGCCAACTTCCTCAAGAAAAGGTCTTTATTTATTTTTATTTTTTTGCTCATACACTCTACTTATTAACTCTCTTGTACTGTTTGGTCAGTTTTGCCTGAAATGTATTATTATTTTATTTACTTCATGTTATGAATGAATAGTAAGAAACTTGGTAAAGGGGTCAGCACTTGCTTTGTGAACTAAAAAAAAAATCATGGACATGATTTGAAAAGGTTAAATTGTCATGGTGCTTTTTTCAGTCATTCTTGTACTTCTTACATTCAAAAATGTCCGCATTGGAAATGAATGGGAAAAAGAATAAATTACGTTACAAAATAGAAAACAGTCATAATTAATTGTAATAATCTTTCACAATATTACTAGTTTCTGTGTTTAGTTCCATGACAAAAAGAATGAAAAGCAAACTAATCTGCCAATATATATATATTGAGACGTTTGCTTTGTTGTTTATTTCAGAACTGCAGCCCGGCCATGTGCAACACACAAGCCTCACAGTCATATTTCTTTGATGATCCTCGAGGAATGGATGACACGGCTTCTCTCTGGAGCCACAGTATCAATCCTAATAGCAGGTAATGTGTTCATCAGGCTTTGAGTATTGCAACTCAGATATTTGACGTTAAAAGTTGTGATATAGTGATTAAAACCGAGTGTCTGCACCAACAGCTGGGTTGGGTCGAGTGAGACAACTCCACTCCTCTTCAACAGGAGCGACCAGATCAACCAACACCACTCGCTTTACTCCACTCCACAGACCTAACCACTATGCAAAGCTGCAGAGATCTTCTTCTGACCTTCTCAGGCAATAGCACAGCATTACCTCTTCCTGTTGAGTAGCTCAATGGGTTTGTTTGCACTAATATGCATCAGAAGCATCTATACTTCTGAAATCGCACCTTGACTTTTTAAAGCTGAGCACAATTAGACTAGATGCTCATGATAAAAGGGACCAGATAATGATTTTACTACAATGATTATAACCACATTTATCATTCATGAGAGATTCTTTGAAATGTATTAACAGATGTTATTTTTGCGTGTGGGATGGTGACCTTTCCATTTCAAATGGTGCATAGGGAAGCAATAAATTTGGTACTTTATGCTCTGATATTTGCTAATTTACATTAATAAAAAACTTAATTTAAACATTTTCTTTTTTAACTCACTTTTTACATATTTATGGTTGCTCATGTATTGTTGGAATTTCAGTAAAGACTAATACTCAGACTTTTGAAACTGAATCTTTATTACTCATTTGAGATGTCATAAAAACAATCTTATCTGATTGAGAATTGTAATATTACCTTACGTTAATGCTTAGCCTGGATGCCAGCCTGAACCCCGCCCACAACATTTTTTGGTCGGGAAGTTCAGTCTGGACTCGATAAATTGAGAAGTAATTATAATCGGTTCAGAAATCGTCAGGCCAATCAAATTACCAGGGCGGGCTTTATACGATGACAGACAGATGATCTGCAGGGACGTAAGAGCGCTTGGGTTGAACTGGTTGGTTTCCCTCAAAAATGTTTAACCAAGGCTGCATTTATTTGATCAGTAATATTTTGAAATCCATTTTAATGTGAGAGCATGAATTTTCAGCTTCATTCCTCCAGTCACATGATCCTTCAGAAATCATTCGAATACACTGATTTGCTGCACAAGAAACATTTATTGATGTTGAAATGTTTTGTGTAAATTGACTTTTTTCAGGATTCTTTGATGAATACAAAATTCAAAAGAACGTCATTTAGATGCACGATATATCGGACAGCATATTGGAATCAGACAATTTATGTTCATCTTTTAATGTTATCATTTTCAGCTCGATAAGAAAATTTGGCTAAGAAATAAAAGCCGATAAATAATGGATTATTTCTTTTAGCTGAGACACTTCAGATGCGCCCTGATGTTTGTTTGAAGTCTGTCGTAGGCTACATGAAATTATAATGAGAACATCATGTAATCAGGCTCTCAGAAATTATATTCAAATTTGGATTCAGATTTATCAGCTAAAGAATAATTTTAGAAATTTTCTGTGGCGGTATCGACCAAAATGTTCACGCCGGTGCATCACTATGTGAAATAGAAATCTATTGTATCATTGTTCATTGATTTAATACGTCCTTGCCTGATAAAAGTATTCATTTCTTTGACCTCAGACTTCATAAACTCACCAGACATACACAAGACTGTTTCGAACAGTTTATTGTGCAGTATGTACATATCCTCCTATTAAAACACTTTATACATTATGTACATTAAGTTAATTTACTCATAATTGGTTCATGGTCATCTTTTACCCACAACCAAAGTAGATCTAAGAAAACAAAATCTAATATGTAGAGCTAGAAATAATGAAAATGCACAAAGAAGGGAGAAAACATCCAATTTTAAGGGCACATGAGAAATCCACAGACCTTATTGATCCTCTGAGAAACAGAAATCACATTCAGAGGAAAGTCTCGCCAATTCTCGATTCAATAGTCAAAGCTGACCTTCAAAGTGCAAGGTTTTTTTTAAATCTTCACGTATGATTACCCAGAAACCAGTTCTCTAGCCGAGTCTTCTGTACACGCGACAATGACGAATCCTCATACACTGGGAAGTGCCTTGATGTGCTTCATTTAGATAACATCTAAGAACACATGAACTTTCCTCAGATAATCTGACATCTCAACATGAAAAGTGCCCAAAAAGTCCGTAAGAAGCGTTTCTACCGTCATGTATTTACGCATCACATCATCAGTGGTCAGGAGTGGGCGTGGTCTCCAGTTTACGGAGACGACGCCGCCTCAACTCGGCAGCGCTCGGCTCACCGTCATCTTCATCTCCCTCCATCCTGTCTTTGTCGTCCTCTGTGGTGGAGTCTGGTCGAGAGAATCCTGTAGCTCCATTCACAGATTCACCTAGGAACAAGAGAATACAATGACCCTGGTACTAGGGGCCTGGCAGCCAATTGGGTACATAGTTAATATATCTGTGTGTTAGAATGTTAGTGTTTTAGTATAATAGTTTAGGAGAGTAGGAGGTGGATATAGGATATACACATACATACATACACTTGCGCGTGTGTGTGTAAATATAAAATATAACATTTCACTGTCAGTCATGCTGTGTATCAGGGGCCGAGTCAATTCAAATATGACTCTCTTTATACAATATTAGCTGTCAAGTTGTGGCAGTATTTTTTCTTCTACTCACCGCTCTGAGCCTCGTTCTCCTGACTAGGGGTTTCCGTGTTGACCGGGGAGGGTGAGGACTCCAGATTCACTGATGCACTCACTTCACCAGTGTTGGTTTCTGATCTTGGCGGACTAAACAGGAAGTTTAGAAAAAAAAACACGGGGATTTCAGAGGTAGGAACTGGGCGTGCCACTCTCTATCAAAGCTTAAAGGGATACTCCACTTTTTTTGGAATAGGTTCATTTTACAACTCCCCCAAAGTTAAACAGTTGAGTTTCACCGTTTTCAAATCCATTCAGCCGATTTTCTGATATTTAGAAGAATATCAGTAACCAGACAGTATCTGGTCTCATTGACTTCCATAGTAGGATACACAACCCGAATTCCAGAAAAGTTGGGACGTTTTTTAAATTTGAATAAAATGAAAACTATACGACTTTCAAATCACATGAGCAAATATTTTATTCACAATAGAACATATATAATATAACAAATGTTTAAATGGAGAAATTTTACACTTTAGTCCACTAAATGAGCTCATTTCAAATTTGATGCCTGCTACAGGTCTCAAAATAGTTGGGACGGGGACAACAAATGGTTGAAAAAGCAAGAAATTTAGAAAGGATTCAGGTGGGAGAACATCTATAGCAACTAATTAAGTTGATATCAGGTCTGTAACATGATTAAAGGGATGTCTTAGAGAGGTAGAGTCTCTCAGAAGTAAAGATGGGCAGAGGCTCTCCAATCTGTGAAAGAGTGCGTAAAAAGATTGTGGAACACTTTAAAAACAGTGTTCCTCAACATCAAATTGCAAAGGCTTTGCAAATCTCATCATCTACAGTGCACAACATCATCAAAAGATTCAGAGAAACTGGAGAAATCTCTGTGCGTAAGGGACAAAGGCGAAGACCTTTATTGGATGCCCGTGGTCTTCGGGCCCTCAGACTACACTGCATCACTCATCGGCATGATTGTGTGAATGATATTACTAAATAGGCCCAGGAATACTTCCAGAAACCACTGTCGGTAAACACAATCCGCCGTGCCATCTCCAGATGCCAACTAAAGCTCTATCATGCAAAAAGGAAGCCATATGTGAACATGGTCCAGAAGCGCGTCGTGTCCTGTGGGCCAAGGCTCATTTAAAATGGACTATTTCAAAGTGGAAAAGTATTCTATGGTCAAACGAGTCCAAATTTGACATTTTTGTTGGAAATCACGGACGCCGTGTCCTCCGGACAAAAGAAGAGGAGACCTTCCATCGTGTTATCAGCGTTCAGTTCAAAAGCCAGCATCTCTGATGGTATGGGGGTGCATAAGTGCATACGGTATGGGCAGCTTGCATGTTTTGGGAGGCACTATGAATGCTGAAAGCTATATAAAGGTTTTAGAGCAACATATGCTCCCCTCCAGACAACGTCTATTTCAGGGAAGGCCTTGTGTATTTCAGCAGGACAATGCAAAACCACATACTGCAGATTATTACAACAGCATGGCTTCGTCGTAGAAGAGTCCGGGTTCTGAATTGGCCTTGCCTGCAGTCCAGATCTTTCACCTATAGAGAACATTTGGCGCATCATTAAACGAAAAATGCGTCAAAGGCGACCACGAACACTTCAGCAGCTGGAAACCTATATAAGGCAAGAATGGGACCAAATTCCAACACCAAAACTCCAGACACTCATAAACTCGATGCCCAGACGTCTTCATACTGTTTTGAAAAGAAGAGGAGATGTTGCACCATGGTAAACGTGTCCCCGTCCCAACTATTTTGAGACATGTAGCAGGCATCAAATTTGAAATGAGCTCATTTAGTGGATAAAAGTGTACAATTTCTCCGTTTAAACATTTGTTATGTTATCTATGTTCTATTGTGAATAAAATATTGGCTCATGTGATTTGAAAGTCGTATAGTTTTAATTTTATTCAAATTTAAAAAACGTCCCAACTTTTCTGGAATTCGGGTTGTACCTATATCCAAAGAAAAGAGCAAAAGAGCCTATATCCAAAAAAAAAAGTGGAGGAGGGGGGATGCTATTTCATGCATAGTGAGCTTTTTTACATGGTTAAAGAGTTGGATTCCCATGCTAAACATGGACAAAGTTTCAAAAATTAAGTTGTACGTTTGATTCAGTATTTCTGTTCTCAAAATACTCCTCCTTAGTTATCACAAGTTTCAAGTAAGGGCGCGTATGATGTGAGATTCGCGGGAATTTCCTTATACGTTCCGCATGACAAGGTGTTCTAAAAACACAGCGCTCAAGTTCAAATCATTTATAAAAAAAAAAAAAAAAAAAAAAAAAAAAAAACACTCGAGACCTTGTGTTTTCCTCCCAGCTTCCAAACGCTCTCAACGTTAAAGCTTTGCACGCTCGTGATTATTTAGCTCCGCCCACACGGCACGTCTCCACCCGTTCGGCTTTTTCCGGGAAAGACTCGGTACAGCCTATCTTTCTTTTATAAATATAATAAAACTAAAGACTTCTTGGAGATATGATGGATGCAATATTACTCTATAGGTACTCCAGATTAACATGAGATTAACTGAAACTGAGTGTTTCACCCTAGAGGTCTTCACAGTGCAACCAAGAACCGTCGACCTGGGACCTGTATGGGTTTGGGTCTATATTTTAAATGATCACCCGGGCCGGGTCCGAATCTATTACTTCGGGCCCCGGGTCTGTTTAACATTGTGTGTAATACCCGTGCGATCGGAGTGCAAGTGCAATCTCAAGCGCGTGTCATGTTTCTATGGCAACCAGAGCTTCTGCAGAACCGTGCTTTACATTTTCTCCAATGTTTATAATAATATAAATGAACCGTCTTGTTTAATCTTAAAGTTTTGGTGGTCAGATTCAGACTCAATGAAGAGCAGAGAGCACAGATATGATCAAGCTGAACAAGCAATCGTTAGTATAGTTGGCAAACAGTTAAAGTTATTATGCGAGTTAACTCGAGTCAGAATGTACATGTGCAAGGTTGCATTTGTCATCCATCACCGTGACATCAAGTGGACTTTTCAAGCTGAAATAATGAGTGGATTA